AAACGAACCCAAAGGTGCATAAGTACACATGCTGACCAACATTTTTGTTAACTTTCAGGCCTAAAGGTCAAATACTTTTTAAACTATGCATGAATAAGATGAAAATTGCAAATTTATACTTAGTCAAGGGCAATAACTCTAACACAACTGGAAAAAATCCACATGCAAAAGCCCAGGTGCGTCCTTCACAATGAGCTGATTATCATTCCTGTAAAGTTGGTTGATTCTAACTCAAGTAATCAAGGAACAAAAAACACAACATAATGAAAATTTTTTACAGATTTTTACTAAGTCAAAAGCAATAACTCTACAAATACTTGATAAATCCACAAGCGAAACCCAAGGTGCACAACTACACATGCTAATCAACATTCATATTAAGTTTCATGACTCTAGGTTTAATACATTTTGTGCTACGCACGACATAAGTCAAAGGAAGCAACTCTCAAGCGAAATCCCAGGCGCACAACTTCACTTCAGTGTTTTTATATTTTCTGGTCCTTCGGGATCATTGATGCCAGCACTATTAAGTGTTGAGAATTGAGTACCGCTCAAGCCGGTGCTAGGGGGCGTGAGGGATGTTGCACTAATTCATTATCCCTCATGTACAGACTCAATCAAACCGAGTCTGCAATTCTTATGTAATTTTGTTGTGATTAATGCTTCTGAGGGATCACTTTGTTTCCAGAATTTTCACATGCGGATCAACATTCGTGTAAAATATGATAAACAAGATCAACAAGGAAAGGTTCAATGAACGCAACCCCCATATGACCTAGCAACAAGAACCAAAGGCAAGGAGCCCAAACAAAAACAGGACAGGGCAAAGACAGAGCACGGACAGGTTAATCATTAAATGATGAATAATTTGTAACTGATTAGGAATTCAGAGAAAAGAATAATAGGCCCACAAAGGGGAAGGGGACAGGAGACCGGGGAAAGGGGTGGGGGGGGGGGTTAATCAAAGAAATAAAAACTAGAGGCAATGGGGAAGATACTTACCGGAGACGAGAAAACAACAAGGGACACAAGCAAAAGTGTCACCAAAACAGTATGAAACAACATAGACATACATCTGAGGAACACAGTGGGGCGCCGCCTAGGAACGGTCAGCAGCATAATAATGACTGCTGGGGAGTTTAAACCGGTTAATGGTGCACAAAACCTCGCTCATAGCCCCACCATGTTCCTATAAACGAGACAGTGTAAATAAAATGAATCCCCGCCAAGTGAAATTCTAGCAGTTGTCTTTGTTACAAAAGGTTAAATAAGTAAAACACTAAAATGATCATGTAGAAACATATAAAAGTAAACCCAATAAAGTTTCATGACCCTATGTCAAATACGTTTTGAACTTCGTGTGACCCAAGTTGAAAATTGCAAAATTTTACTAAGTCAAGGACAAGAACTCTAAATAAACTCTAGATAAATCCACACAAAAATACCATGTAACACAGCTACACATGCTGATCAAAATTCCTGTAAAGTTTCATGACCCTAGGTCAATCACTTTTTGAGCTACGTGCGACACAAATTAATCAAAGCACTGAAAGTACTGTTGGAAGGAAATTTTCATAGAAATTCCCAATGTGTGTGAATTAAAAACAAAGGAATATGTGCAAGCTTCGATCTACAGCTTGCTGATTTGATGACACAAAATGTGACGTCATTGTTTCTGTTTTTGCACTACTCATGTTCAGTGGGCTGATAACTAGTTCTTGGCCCAGGGCCCCAAACCCATAAGTTGTGACACTCATAATCAGTTGAAATCATAGGCAATTCTGTTTCTAATAAGTGAATTAATAGATAATACTACTGCATTATGAACACAAAGAACCACTCAGTTTGACCTAAATCGGCCATGACTTATATAACTACTTCATAGGAATTCAAGACCATGCCATAAGCATTATTTAATCATAGTTAATGAAGAGACTTTTTATTTTAACTCAAGGACAAGAAAAGCTCATCATGTGCTTACATGTGTAAGTTCAAACATGACTAATTGTGTTTTAGTATGAAATTGATGTACATGCTGTTAAAGTCATAGCACAACAAAGAACAATGATTTAAAGTAAACTTTTATTGTCAAAACTTGCATAAAAGTAAAAATATATGTGATATAAAAAATAAATGCTTAAATATATGGAGATAATGAAATTAAGTTTGTCAGATAAACTGTGTAAAAGGAACTCCACTGAGGTTTTTTGACATGATGAGACTGAAATTTATTTTCTAGATTAATGTACCACTTGATGTATATTTTGACCACTTATCTTTGAGAAAAATTTCAGATCATTTGCGCACTTCGTTTTTCAAGAATAATTATTCAAATTGTAAAAAAATGACCCAAAATAAAAGCGTTTAAACACATTTCACGCAGATCAGGCTGAGAAAAGCATAAAAATCAATTTTCAATTTATTTCAAAGTATATTTCTTCACTATCTGTGCATATATTTCTGTATCAAGTGCCCCGGCTCATTTCTGTAAAAATTCAAATGTTATGTTTTAGGCTTTTAAACCTCAATGGAGTGAGTCCCTTTAAATTATTGGTACATATTGAGGTGACACAAGTTATAACAATCTGAATGAAAGAAGCTTTAATGCAAACGGCCAGTGGTATAGGAGGTGCTGTTTTAAGGATTTTTTACATACAAGACTGATATTATACAACAAAATATAGTCAAAAGTAGAAATGTGCCCACAGAACTTGAATGCCTGCGTTAAGAACAATGCTTATATTGAGTGGGTAATCAAAATATGTACATAATTAGACAAGCCCACTGGCAGCATATCGAGCCTGTTGCCTTCATTCAGAACTGAACCTTAAAGCTTCAGATTGGGGAGAAAGATGTATACATAAGTGAACATTTCATGATTTGTGATAAATGTTATGAAAATCCAGCCATGTATATAGAAATATACTCTCATGTTTTAATTTATTATTTGACTTTTGATCCACAGAGTTATTAACGTCCCCTGCCTCAGGGATGTTTTATATGAAACAAAAAATTGTGCTATTTCAAAAGATTGAGCCAGGGATCTAAGGATTTTCAGTCCAAAATTATGATCAATGCTAGATCTGCAAATGCAACAATATATTTATTAAAGAAATAAAATGAAATACTGAATTTCAAAATCGATCATGTTAAGCTTTGCAGGGATTTTTTGGCTCATTTTATAGCCGTTATTGGGACATATTATTTTCCCAATCCACAGGAAAATATTCCCAATTGAAAGTTACAAAAATATAGATATTGAATAAAGAATTCTAAAATCTTTGAAAATAAGGGCTTCTTCACTGTTATAGTGTCAAAATGTTTGAAGAAGCCATCCTAGGCAGTGATTGCTTGCATACATTTAATCACTGCAAAATTTCAGTCATGTATTTTTTCCCAATTTTTAACAAAATATTGCTGAAATTCCAGTTCCCAGTTCCATGGGTATGGGTTATGTTCCCAAAATCCTGGAAAAAATCCCTGCTTTGACCTCTAAGTGTGACCTTGACCTTGGAGGTAGGGGTGCAGGTGTTGTGCATGACATATCATCTTATCATTGTAACTATTTGTGCCAAGTATTTTCAAAATCCCTTCATCTATGAAGAAGTTATGGACGGTGCATAAAATATACCATATAACAGACTTTGTTACCTTTATACCTCTAAGTGTGACCTTGACCTTGGAGGCAGGGGTGCAGGTGTTGTACTTGACATATAGTCTTATTATTGTGACTATTTGTGCCATGTTATTTCAAAAATTCCTTGAACTATGAAGAAGTTCTACATTGGACACAATATATACCCTTTAAAAGACTATGTTCATTTTTTACCTCGAAATGTGACCCTGACCTTGGAGGTAGGGATGCAGGTGTTGCGCATGACACATTGTCTTATTATAGTGAATATTTGTGCCAAGTGTTTTCAAAATCCTTTGATATAGGAAAAAGTTATGGAACGGACAAAAAAATACCCTATAACAGGCTATGTTATTCTTAGACCTCCAAGTGTGACCTTGACCTTGTAGGTTGGTGACCGATTGTTGCGCATGACACATCATCTCATTGTTGTGAACAACTGTGGCAAGTATTTACAAAATCCCTTCAAGATAAGGAAGGTATAGACTGGACACGAGATATACCCTCAAATAGACAATGTTGACCTTGAATGAGCAAGTGTGACCTTGACCCTGGAGGTAGGGGTCTGGTTATTGCGCATCATCGTCTTATTATAACAAACATTTGTGCCAAGTTATTTCAAATTCCTTCAATAAATGACAAAGTTATGGACCAGACACGAAATATACCCTGTAACAGGTTATGTTAATATTTGGCCTCCAAGTGTGACCTTGACCTTGGAGGCAGGTGACCTGTTGTTGTGCATGACACATCTTATTATTGTGAGCAATTGTGGCAAGTATTTACAAAATCCCTTTAGAGATAGGAAAGTTATAGACCAGACATGAGATATACTCTCAAATAGACAATGTTGACCTTGAATGAGCAAGTGCGACCTTGACCCTGGAGGTAGGGGTCTGGTTGTTGCACATGACTCATCGTCTTATTATAACAATCATTTGTGCCAAGTAATTCAAATTCCTTCAATAAAACCTTGAAGTTGATAAAGATTTGGTCATACATATTTCAACAAGAGGGCCATGTGTATATAGGCCCCTGGAGCGGGGCCAGTTTAAACCCAAGGGCTTTTATTTGAACAAACTTGTATGACACCCATTAGAAGATGTTTCATGATGTAAAGTTTTTACTACACAAATATAATGTAAAACAAAGACCTCTGCACCACCACCCACCCCCGGCATGGCCAATTTTTATCCAAGGGCTCAAAATTTGACCAAATTTGGTAGACACCATAAGAAGATGTTTCATGCTAAACATCTAGGCTCTAGCTCATTGGGTTTTTTAAAAGAAGATTTTTTAAGTTTTTACTATACACATATAGTTTAAAAACAATGAAACCCCTGGGGGGGCAGTTTTGATCCAGGGCTTTTATTTGAACAAACTTTGTACACACTTACCAGAAGATGTTTCATGCTTAATATCTAAACTCTAGCTATTTGGGTTTTTTCAAAGAAGGTTTTTAAGTTTTTGCTATACACATATAAGGAAAATCAATGACCCCCGGTGCGGGGCCAATTTTGACCTCGGGGCTTTTATTTGAACAAACTTTGTAGACACTTACCAGAAGATGTTTCATGCTTAATATCTAAAACTCTAGCTATTTTGGTTCTTTAAAAGAAGATTTTTAAGTTTTTACTATATGGCATATAGGGAAAATCAATGACCCCTTGGGGCCGGGCCAATTTTGACCCCAGGGCTTTTATTTGAACAAACTTGGTAGACACTCACTAGAAGATGTTTCATGCCAAATGTCTAAGCTCTAGCTCTTTGGGTTCTTTAAAAGAAGATACTTTGTCTAAGCTCTAGCTCTTTGAGTTCTTTAAAAGAAGATACTTTATGTCATTTTCTTTTGGTTGCCATGTCAACCAGCGTTCTGCGTGAAATTAAATTCTATGAACAGTATTTAAAGGTGACCACCAAAGGAACATTCCTGTAAAGTTTGGATGAAATTGGCTTAGTGGTTTATGAGGAGATTTCATTTAAAGTAAAAGTTTACGGATGGACGCCGGACGCAAAGCGATCAAAAAAGCTCACCCTGTAACTTTGTGACAGGTGAGCTAAAAATAGTTAAGTGATCTTATTTTCCTGGTGAAAAACTGGTGGCACATTAAAGTTCTATACATATTATGATATTTCAAATATTGGAAAGTTATCTCTAGTTATTGGTGAAAGACTGGTGACTAGTTTTCTCCTCAATGTCATTTCTTTTTCTAATTAGATTAAGTCATGGTACTATATTCATGAGACTTTCGACATCACATCTAAGAACTCATTATCAAACATTGCAAAGGGCAGGCAGTCTCCTGGTATTCCAATTTCTTTTAAGTTTTATAAAACCACAATTTTTCTATTTCTTAAGTGTTTCCGACATGAAGACACATCTACATGTATCTTTCCTTATAGCTCCTGCTTTATCTGTTCTATCACATAAGCGCCTCTGTTTCCTGAAATATTTGTTTAGAAAAAGTTAATTGCAAAATTAAATTAAAATTCCAATATTTTAATAATTTTTTTTTTTTTGGGGGGGGGGGGCAATTTTCAGCACAATTTCCTTCCAGCTTTACTGGTTGAGGAAGACCTTGGTGCACCTATGTGTATGATTTCAGGCACATGGATACCATCAATGTTCCATAAATGAGCTTTCTCACATGAAAAAATGCTGAGCTTGAACTTACAGCAGTGAAAGGAGTCAATAAACTAAAACAATCAGTCACAGACCCGGGTATTTTATCTATTTGCTTAGCAGCAATTTTTTCAAAATTATTCAAATTCATAAATGTGAGTGATTCTGGCTAAGTGATGATAAGATGATCATATATGTCAGATATGTTGGAGTGCTAACACTGCTTACTGTGAATATTCAATATTTTAATGTGAATTGTCCTGAGGTGAAAAGGAAAGGAAAGCTGAATTCCTAAATACATCTTACATGTCACAATTGTTCTTGCTATTAATTTTGTTCCTAATTTCTTGTATAAGATATTTAAATACACTAATTCTTTTTTATAAATTTGGCTTTTTGTGACAATAGTCTAACCAGTGACAGAAGCTCACTGACTTAAAATAAACTGTCCTGTGTCAGCCTTTAAACAAGTCAAGAAAAAAAAGCTATTAGAAAATAATAATTAAGAAATATCATATACAAATACTTCTAAATAATCATGTACCTCTTCCTTAAATGCCCATGCTATTGAAAGAAACATTTTCCATTTATTCACTTCAAGGTTAGTCAGATTGACAGTCTCACATTTTAGCCTTTATCTCTCATGATTTCATTGTCATTGACCCTAAAGCATCCTTAAAATCGATATCCTGCTGTTCACATTCATAAATCTGACATGTAGGCCGAACTTCTGAAAAATAAAATATAATTATTATTAGATATACATATAGTATCCCAATTATTATGTTAGTTGATATCAAATCAATAATTTAAGCAGCTAATGTTCGAAATTAGCAGTAGTCTCAGAGCCTGACTACTAAATTTCTCCTCGGGCTACCAACTTTTCACAGTAAAAAGCCTGACCAGGCTACTGTATTTTCAGAGGCAATATAAACAACTGTTTTGAACAAATGAATCGTGCTAGTGAAATGTCTTTTGGGCAAGTAAATATTTCAATCTAATAGTCCGACCAGCCAAGTCGATTCAAATCCTAATTTCGATATTCGATCATATAGTATCGACTTTTGTACTTTTATGAAAATTAACGCACACAATTTTTAAGAGATACAGCGTTTTCATTGGATGACAAATAAAGTTGGACACTAAAGTAATTATAGTACATATACAGTATGTATTAAATGTCTTTACTATCTACTATACTGTCCTGAAATTTCAAGAAAACAACTATCTTTAAAATCCATTGTCTCGGAAGTTGCAAAACCAAGTAAATGAAATTGTTCTGGGTTTGTATTATTCTGTACAACTTCTGATCACAAAAGCTTCAAGGACATTTATGAGTGAGTCAGGTCCTATCCTGAAAGATTGTTGTTCAAGCATTCAAAAATAACAAAGTTATAGCTACTAATAGCAAAAATCAAGAAAATTTAGACATTTACCTTGAATGTTAATATGGTGGTCAAGTTAATTAAGTTTAGTCTGGTCTATTTGAAGGGTTGTTGCGGCCATGTATGAAGACAATACACCAAGATCTGAAAAAGTTATGAAACAAGGTTAAAGTTTTTTGACAGCAATAGGAAAGCCGTCGTGACTAACAATATATTTTGGCCCTAATGCAAACTGAAAATTCTAGCCTATAACACTGTTGAGACTAGCTGTTCAGCATTTTTTCAATAATAAATAAATGCAATGATTAAGTCGGTAACTTGCAAGTCTTCTAACATTTTTACAAAGAATGAACATATGTATTTCTTCCTAATAATTCTAAAATGATGTTCAGTCATTTATATTATAACAAGATATCGGAAAGATTATAGATATATCAGAAATGAATTGGCCGGTGGACTTTAATGTCAATCATAGAGCTCTTATGCAATAAGTAATGGTAAGCAAACATCCAGCATGAAATTTTCAAGTAGCCAGAAGTTAAATAAAATTATTAAAAATACTTTGTCATGATTCAACTACTGCTGAAAATTGACCCACATGTTTGATTACAAATTTATAACATCTATATTGTCCATAGAAATAATAAATTAATTTTCAGCCTCTTTCTCTTTGCGCTTTCACACAGATTTGAATTATTCAAGTCCATGATTTTCAGAAGGAAAAAATCTTCTGATCATCAAACACTAAAAATTACTATACCAACTGCAAATTGCAGTCTGTGCGAAAGGCTGTCGGTCCTCGGACCTCGCCAAATAAAAATCAGGAGGGCCTAGATAAATTTTGATACAGTGATCGAATATCAATTGTACACAACAGTTAAATATATTATAAACTTATTTCTATGTTAATAGATAGTCTATATACAATAGATATGAAAAAGCAAATCCTACACAACAGCCAACACTGTAACTTCGAATCAGGGTCAGCTCGGCCCTAAAACGTACTTGGCCCTCGAGTCAGCTTGCAGCCTTATTCCAACTCAGCACGGGTCAACTCGGCCCATAATTATATATTACTGGTAATGATTACTTTCTTACTTTTGATATGTTTTCATCATAACTTTCATGGTTTAACATTTTCACACTACTGTAACAGACATCTACTCAAGGATATTGAAAAGTTTTATTGATGAAACTTTGAAAGTACCAATTTGTATGTGAATTTGTAGAGAAAGAAAGAATTTACAATTTAAACGCATATTTTGCTTCTCCAGATTTTTTGTAAAAAATATCATTAAAAAAGCATTTGTCATATTAAAGAACAAACAGTATTTAATACAATAAAATTCATTGTCACAAAAAATCAATCTAAAAACTCTATTTATTGATCAATATTTAACGAATATTGTCTTGTCTCTTGATATCTCTTCTTCAGATAATTATTCATCTTAAAGATAATTTCAAACAATATGTTATTAACTAAACAATCTATATCCTAATCCTAATAGGGCCTATATGGTTTTAATAGAGGGCCGAGTTGACTAAGTCACTTGTCCCGAGTTAGTGTAGGGCCGAGTTTACCTGTAAATTCAATAATGTAAACAATCCTTGACCTAATTTCGTTTGTCTAACAAATTAACATCTGCAAACACAAAACGATTTTGAACAAAGAAATAAAAGCATTTCCACAAACCTTTGCGATGTTATTCATCAGCAAATCTATGTCTTGAAATCTGAAAAACACGAACGTTATTCTGTCGATGGTCCGAACGGTGTGCCCTACTTATTAGTCTAAACAAAGTTTTACCAAATTGTATCCGTTAATTCCAGAATACTTTAAAAAGATTTGTATTGAAATATTGTTTTTTTATTATTTACATAATAATATTTTTGTTTCAAACGCTTTCATTCTATGATAATTTGCGAACCATTTTTTTGCAAAAATAGTATGCCTTTTTAAGTCCACATATTGTATCCATTGTTTCCTCTTGAGTTATCGACGTAAAAAATTCAGCGGTGGCATAAAATGCTATTTCAATAAATGCTAAATATATACAAAAAATACTTTTATTTCCCTTCGGTTGACTTATATGTAAACTTTTCAGCATATCTGCTACAAAATTACACCTTATTTATATTCAATTTATTGTACATAGGTACATGGACACAAATTTTTCTTTGGCCTAATGCGTAATAATACTGATGTTTTTTTTTTTCGTACACGTTTAAGATTATGTTCCAATGATGTAAGCTATCATTGAATATCATCATTTCAAGTTTTTTTTAACATCATCTTTTTCTTCAAGTCATCCACGTTTGAAAGTATACATATAGTTCTGCTGCACTACTTTCTTGGTCGCATTTACTACTTGTTTTCTATTGAGCTTAAACAGAAGTCAATTAGGTGTTGTTCGTTCTTTTTAATATGGGCAGACCGTTAATATAGAAAGGAAATTTTTTTTTGAAAAAATTTCCTTCCAAAAATTGCAAATTATTGCAAATTATTACTTAGTAAAGGATAATAATTCTGACAAGACATAATGAATCCGTATGCGAAACACTAGGTGCACGACTTCACATGCTGATTAACATTGCTGTAAAGGTTCATGACTCTAAGTCAAATACTTTCTGAGTTTCGAGCGACACAAGCTTAAAAATGAAAATGTTTACTAAGTCAAGGGCAATAACTCTAAAAATACTTAATATATCCACACAAAAATACCCAGGTGCAAACTACACATGCTGATCAAAATTCCTGTAAACATTCATGACTCTAGGTGAAATACTTTTTGAACTACATGCGACACAACTTGAAAAATTGCAAATGTTTACTTAGTCAAGGGCAATAACTCTTAACATTACATAATCAATCCACAAGCCAAAACCCCAGGTGCACAACTTCATATGCCGGCACATTCCTATAAGGTTTCATGCCTCTAGGTCAAACACTTTTTAAGTTACGTACGAAAAATTGCAAAATTAACTCTACAAATACTAACATAAATCCACACGAAATTACCCAGTTGCACAACTGCACATGCTGGTCAAACATTCCCTGTAAAGTTTCATGACCCTAGGTCAAATACTTTTTGAGCTACATGCGGACACAAGTTAAAATTGCAAATTTTTACTAAGTCAAGAGGAATAACTGTGACAAAAACATAATAAATCCACAAGCGAAACACCAGTACCCATTTGATAAACGTTTTGGTTAACTTAAATCCATGGTAAGGTTAACTTTTGGTTTAAACTTTGGTTAACCGATTGTATAAAATTTTGTTTAAATTTAACCAGCTTAAATTTCTTTGTTAATTTAACCCACATATAGGAGGCGGTTTTTAAATTTTAATAAAACTTAACCAGAAATAAAATGGCTACCCTGTTGATACCAAACGCTTAGACGACCTCGACTATTTTCACTGATAAACAGACAAACGGACAGTCTAGACGACCAAGAACTTCGGAACCAA